GACGAACGAAAACCAAACTATAATTATTCTAAATTCTAAATAGATTAAATTTTAATATTGTTATTAATAATAGCTTGAAATTATGTCATTGTACTTGGTACAAAAGTAGAAAGGTTAGGTAAGTAAGATTACAAGTAGGAAGTTTTTCATTCCAGTAAAGTACATCCACTTAATTTACTCTTACATAATACAGTTTTTAAAAGCCAATTATTTTTAATATAAAAATATAACTTCGAAAAAAAGTGCATTCAAGCTTTTTACTTTTTAGTACATTAAGTCTCAACTGACACTACATATTTTTTCCCATGTTAAGCGTAAATATTTTTCCTACTAGTTATACTTTATTAGCTGATCCAAATAACTTTAGAAACTATACTTATTTATTATAATTGTTACAGTCAAAACTCAAAAGAACGTTATCGCGTTAGTCAAAATTACTAGGAAATCATTAAAAACAATTGTTTTACAATTGCTAGCGTTTTAAATTGCAATTTAAAACGCTTTACAATAGTAAAGCGTAGCATTTGTGTGGTTTATGCATACAAAACATACATACACTCGAAAAAACATAACCCTCCTTCTGCAGTCGGGTAATAATGACACCTTATGGTACTACAGTAAGGTGACTTCTTTTTCTCATCTAGCTTTTTCATTTTTCAAATTTGTATGATGACTATCCTAACTTAATTAGGTAATACGTTATTTTATAGCATGTTTTCATTTTGTTAGATCATCTTTTAATTATCTTTTACCTGACAAATACCTAGTTTCGTCAAATATGAGAAATAATAAAAAACATCATTCTTTACCCGATGTGGATAGATGTCATCATTTTTTAATGTACAAATCACATAAACGTTACACTCTAAAATAGTTATATTACATATTTTTGATGATTTTTTAGTTCTTTCGTTTGTTCTAAACGCACATACTTAAATACAATAAGAAACGTCTATAAAATTTACCTACTCAGTTGTTTTAATATCCTCTCTTTGTAGATTTTTAAAATATTTGTTTAGATAATCTAAGGGCGTAAAGGACAAATTATTTAGACTTTGGTATGAAAATTTGGGTTGTATAGGACAATAGACTATACTACATGTACATTATACGCCCAAAAATTTGTGTTTACTTGTTCTTTACTACCATGCTAACTGTACTAAAAAATGAAATGGTATTTACATCCCAATTTTCACGATGAATTCTGTTTAGCTTATCAAATATGATGGGTCGTAAAGGCACTTTTTTTGAGAATTTCGACAAACCAAATATACAGATCGATAGAGAATTAAATTCTGAGTACAACTGTATAAAAAACTCATTTTCGGTATTTTGTCCTTTACGACCTTTGAGCCCAGAGGTATCGATATGCTGACCCAAGCAGACCCATNGCAGGAGGAGGTATCTTTACCTTAAAGGCCGGCAACGCACCTGTAACGCCCCTGGGTCTGCGGGTGTCTATGGGCGACGGTAATCACTTACTATCAGGTGATCCGTCTGCTCGTTTGTTTGGAACAAAAGTCGTTATTTCCATTTTTTACATGTCCAAATCTTTCAAAGTATGGCAACACTGGAAAATGTTGTTTTTCCAAACGATACTCCTTAGCAAACTACGTAATCGCTCTATACAACTCGAGTTTCCCAAATGTTGCCAACTGCCCNGATGTCTACCGACGGAAATCCACTCAGGAGCACCCAAAGAAACACTGTTGCAAAAATGAGCCTTCTATACCAAAGTGGAGGGGTCTCCATACAAATCATTGCACTAAATTCCCTACTATTATCCCGGTTTTTGAAACAGGGACGCGCGCGATAAAGTTTTTCTGTGACAGACAAAATTCCACGCGGGCGAAGCCGCGGGCGGAAAGCTAGTGCCATATAAATTGGTACACAAGGCGAACTTAATACCGTTGATATACTAATAAATTGATTGAATAACTTGATACTATCTATATTAACAGTTAATCTAGTACATTATTCAAGTTGCTGCTTGGTCTAGTAAATAATTGATCGCGAGAGGCGCCGGTCCGTCTTGCTGTCAAGAAAAAAATCGCCGCCTTGCGTCTGGCAGACAACCCACACTATTGGATTATCACAGATTAGAGAGTATGTGTGGATTATACTTTAAGCGAATAACTCACACAGAGATTGGAAAATATGTCTCGGAATGCAAATAAGAACCACAACCTCTGGAAGGCAACAAAGTACCTCCCTCAGTGTTCTCCGCCTATTAACTCCGGTAATACATGAGTGCGAACTGACGAGAAAAATCTCAAACCTTTGCTATATGACAAGCCGGTTTATTTAAACCTAACGACACGGATAATCCAAAAAATCCACAGTTCAATCCAAAAATAAGATTGATTGAGCATACATTTTTTAAATACCTTCGCGAAGTAAAACTTCTGTACGTAGTACTTATTTTATTCTGTGGTTTTAGTTTAGTTTTAGCTTTATTAATCTAAGTTTAATCAATTATTTAATACATAGGTACCTACATTAATTGTAGTGTATCCTATTTTTACGGATAAATTGTGTGCTAAGCTAACTAAAGAATTTATTTAGCGCAAATCCGCCATAAACTACCTATATTATTTGATAAAAGTAAGTTTTTGTTAATAAAACAAAATAATTACATTACGTTACGTACGATAAACGATTTTAAATCATTATGTCGTATCCAATGATACTAAAGAACTATAGATATGTTACGTTCATAGAAATTACGATTTGAATTCGTGCCGAGCTATTCCAAATTNTGGTTAAGTTTAACATAACGAGTGTTATTTAATGCCAAAATCACGAAATCTTATGCGTAGTACGTATATATCGATGATATTTTGTATGTAAATAATTCAAAACAAAACTCTTTTTTTCTCTTAACTCCAGGGATAGATTGCAGTGCGCTTCGGTTTACACATTAGTACTGGCATGAGGAACAAAATGCACTATGGGTTGATTCTGGGCAGCACTTGGTCCAGACCCTGGCACTATCCTTTGAAGATCTAAATAGTTATACACAAAAAATATGATAATGTAAAGCTGTGATCAAACCAAGGCCTTTGCCTTGCTCTAAAAAGCAAACTTGCCTAGATGATGGCAATTCACTCATGATACAATATAATTAAGTATAATAGCTGGATAACCCTTTCAGGACGACCTAACACGATCGTGCACGTTATTTCAAAAAAATCCCGCGACTTTTCTAACCTACTTTTCGGGCCCAAGACGCTAGCCAACGATCGTGCATCAGTCTGTTTATGAATTAAACGCATAGGTGCGAGAGAGAAGGCCGTCAGTGTTCTTTGACACCGAGGTAAAGATGTCGACCTCTTTTGTTGAGCGGAGTGGTCAGCGTTAGTACTAATTATTTCGTGATTAATTCAACTATTTTACTAGAATTTTGGTTTTAATATTTTGTTTAGTTAGTAATGTGATTCGGTAAATCAAATTTTTGGCATTATTTATTTTGCAGTGGGAAATATTACCTCTCAAAATTTTGTTTGCACGATAGTGACGATCCGACTCAAACCCAACATTCGGTGACATACTTTGTATGGCGGTGAACTATTCTATTTTAATGCTTTTAATTAAATTTCGGCTTTTAGAAACAGAATTAACGGGTGAATTCAGCTTATTGGGCATGTCAATTATTCCGAAATTGAAGAGATGGAACATGATGAAGGCAATTTAGAAGTCTTGGTTTGCCATTGATGCCTACTGATGAGCCTCAATCACCTCCAAGACCTGGTCCATTGTCAGTTACTGTGCCAATAGCTCTCTAAAAGTCGTCGGAAAGCCATGCGACTGGCCAAAGGGTTTTGATACAGATGCCATTGAACCAGAGGGATTATTACTATCCAGAACTATTGTCAGCAGTAGTAGTCTCCTTTGACCTACAGTGAAGGCTTTTGACGATATGTTTTTTGAACGTGCAGGTGTTTGTACCAATAATTATCCGCAAAACGGGAAAAGTATTGAATACCCCAGCAAAAAAGTTCAAAAAGTAGTTTGAATTAATTTCTTCATGGAATGTATTCCGTCCCCACGCATTCACGTGTATTGGCGTCGAATAGAATGAGATTGGCTTTAGTTGCTGACAAAATTTTCAGAGATCTATTTTGAGTTTTAGTGTGGCTTTCCATGTTGTAAACAGTGATGAAGCTCCTGCAGTAGGAAAACCAGAATTGAGTTTCGGAAGGAAGGGCATGCTGTGCCTACTCAAGTCTAGAATGCTTGAGATAAAGTAGAAAGACAACATTTTTTTTATTCCGTAGACGAGCAAATGGATTTCATTCTCTGGGACATGTTCACATGGTTTATGACAATTAAAAAATCAAAGCCACATTCACAGGAGCTTTCGTCGCTACTAACCATGATGGTTTGATGATTGACTTCGAAGTTTATCAGGCCGCAACAATAAACTTTGAAGATCTTTAGGTTTTTGAANTAACGTTTGCATATTCTATGGGCTTCATACTTTCGATTGGTATGGAGTTTGTTTAATAATCAAACCGATGAAATATTTAAAAATAAAACTTTTTTTAATGATTAATTAAACATATCCTGGACTGAAATTTATTAGGCAACCCTTAAGCAATATAATTATTGACATGTTAAATTGAATATAAAATATGTTTCATCAAATAAGCATCTCGGTGAAGGTCCTTGTATAGCGGGATCTTAGACTATTGGAAAATATGTCTCGGAATGCAAATAAGAACCACAACCTCTGGAAGGCAACAAAGTACCTCCCTCAGTGTTCTCCGCCTATTAACTCCGGTAATACATGAGTGCGAACTGACGAGAAAAATCTCAAACCTTTGCTATATGACAAGCCGGTTTATTTAAACCTAACGACACGGATAATCCAAAAATAAGGAGCATACATTTTTTTAAATACCTTCGCGAAGTAAAACTTCTGTACGTAGTACTTATTATTATTCTGTGGTTTTAGTTTAGTTTTAGCTTTATTAATCTAAGTTTAATCAATTATTTACTACATAGGTACCTACATTATTTGTAGTGTATCCTATTTTTACGGATAAATTGTGTGCTAAGCTAACTAAAGAATTTATTTAGCGCAAATCCGCCATAAACTACCTATATTATTTGATAAAAGTAAGTTTTTGTTAATAAAACAAAATAATTACATTACGTTACGTACGATAAACGATTTTAAATCATTATGTCGTATCTTATTATTTGTGAATAAAGAATTAAACAACTTACCAACATATTACGTGGGGACAACGTAGCGACTTGCGATCTCTGATCAATTGATTTTTTCAGAAGAACAAGGAAACTGAAAGAATACATTTTAATTATTTAATGAAGTAACTAGATGACATGCTGAATGCAACTTTTTTCTTTTTTTTTAACCCAGGAAGATGGGCCTGTCCATAACTACCTCCTCCGAGACTTGAACCCACTAAAACCTCGGGTATTCCCTCTGCCGCATAGTTGTCGGCGCCTTCGGGTACTAGAAAAGACCAAGGCGCCTTCCCACGCCCCCACTTAATGGGGGGCCGACAGAATTAGCCGGGACCACGAGGCTTATCCCGTCCGACGGCAGTAGTAGCCGGTAGCCTGTGCAATGCAGGCGTCCCCCCGCGTTTCTAACCTGCTGGCCACCACCAAGGGAAGGAACCACAGGAAATCCGTGACTGGAGAACGGTTTTTAACCCTAGAGTAGTCGCGCCTTTTCGTGAAACGCGAGTGCTCGCGTATGAGCATTTTGCCGCCCATACTTAAAGTCGTGGTTGTGTTTCAAATAATATTTTAAAAATATGAAAATCAGTTTAATATGTTAGAATAAAACATATACTTTTAGAAAATAGTATTTATCAAAGATTTGTGGTTAGAATACAAAGAAAAAAAAATGGTTTTGGAAATGTTAGTTAAAATATTAGAAACGTCATTGTCTTTACCTACCTTTACCATGAAAAATTACTTATTAGCACACTTAACGTTTTCTTCATCTGAAACATGTGCATAAGCAAAACAGTTCTGTCACATGTGCAATCATTGTGCATATAATGTACGTTGCACAGTAATTTTGCACAGCTATTGCACCTTTTGCACATCATCGTCAGATTCTGCCGCTGATTGATCTGTATAAGTATTGTCCTTACTTCGTTTACTTTCTCTATAACTTTCGTATTGTATTTTCCACAAATGTTTGTGAACCAGCTTCTTTGAAATCCGACGCAAAACGTGACATACGTTCAATAATCGTTCTCCATTGCGGTCACCTGCGCACTAAATTTCTTTTAATTTCTAACACATGTAGGTGAAGTATAGAGGGGCAGCTACTGAAAAGCTTGACCTTGACGAAAGCATCGTGTAGAAAATAACCCGATTTTTTTGCCGAGGGCGGCAAAATGCTCATAGCGCGAGCACTCTAGGGTTAATAAAAAAAAAATCCGATTATTTTACGTAGTTCAATCGAGGAGGCATCTGTAAACAATTGAAAGGTAATTAAACAAAAAATGCTATATTATTTGCAATATGGTTTTTAATCATCATCAGAGTCTAATAAATCGGTTTTATTTATTCCTATACTTGAAAGCAAGTTACTAGAAGGTCCAGAAACTCCTTCCTCTTTAATACTTTGAGTTAAATTAAACATGACTTTATTTCCGTCACTTCTATTTACGTCGTAGGATTTAAGTTTATTAGCAAGTTCTTCATCAAGCTCAGCATCTGTTAGATTGTCTTCAAAATCGGAATCGGTTTCAGAAGAAGAGTGCATATCAACCGAAACTAAATCCATCATCTTTTCTAAACAATTGATAAATTCATTAGCATCGAAGTTAATATTTTTGCTTTCTAAATCATTCTTTTCTTTAGTGTCAACGCCTTCAAAATCTGAAGATTGTTTTAAAAAATCTGTCAATTTTGTTGTTATAGTTTCAGGTGTTACAATATCATCATTATTGAATTTCACACTGTTACCATAACGATTATTTAGCATATTATTTAACTGACTAGGTTCAATACTTAACCAATCATCATTATCTTCATTGAGACTACTGTCAGTTTTATTGTGCTCTTTCAAAGATTCCTTGCATTTTAAAAACTCTCCTGTCGCCATTATGCTTGACACATTGTTGGACACATAAGTGCTAACAGGGCACTCCATCTCAAAGAAATAGTTCTTTGCTTTTTCTAGTAAATAATTATATTCCTTTGAATGTTCAATATTGTTTCTGAAATATCCATTCTCTTTTAAATTGTTTTTATACTTAATAAACTCTTTAGAACAAAATATATCTTTGGCTGCTGTTTTCATTAACATTTGAAACCCAAAGGTAATTTTGAATCCTAGTTCATCTCTTTTAGCTTCAGCTGATATTTTATGTTTCACACTTCGTATAAGTTTAGAATGCATGAGCATTGCATAAAGACATTTAGTGAAATTTACTTCAACATAGACATAATCACTCAAATCTATGTTTCCAACTGATTTCACATCAATAATGTCATGATTACAATATGTAGTAACAATTGGTGCAATGAGAGCTGGTTTTAACTTAAGTACTGCAGCAATTTCTAATGGCAAACGGACTATCACTCTTTGAATATTTTCTTTAATTTTTTCTGGATATGAACCAATTCTGGTTATTATAGTATTTTTGATTTCAGGTAATGCTCTTGTTTTTTCCGGAAATTTCACAAGTAATTCTATTGCATCATTGACANATGACATTGTTATTGTAAAATGTATGGATATTAGATAACAAACCCGTCTTAGTAGCATCCAATTTTACATCAGGAGAGGATTTTTTCCTCGACAAGAGATGTAATAAAAATCTACTAGTGCCTACCGTATAAGCTATTTTAAAATGATTTGCAATTTAAATCAGATATATTACTTAATGTTCCTTCGCCTTTTAAGAGTATAAAAATATATGTTTCTAAATATTTTATTGTTTTTTAGGTTTTTAACTTCAAAACCTGATACCGTCACTTTCGTGCAGTAAATTAATTTAAGTCTGAGCGTCACGATCGTGCTGGGTCCCCCCACGCAGAGGGGGGCGAGGGGGATTTTTAAAATTATTTTTTTGGAGTACCTTATACAATAATAAAACATGTTATGTAGTCAAATATGTTAATTTAAAAAAATCTGAAATCCGGCCTGAAAGGGATAAGAATTTTCAATAGCATTTATTTATTCATGGTGCATATGATACAGTTTTGACATCAAACTAAAGTAACATAGTTTTGACAAAATTAGAATCTTTAAAGAACACTCTTCCAATAACACTTTTCATACAAAGGTGCATAAAATTTAACTGTGCTCACTCAAATGTCTAAACTTACGCGATTTTCAGTGGTTTCTGGATTAGCCCATTTTGGTAAATAGTCAGCTGCCTCTATAAGCATAAAGTCTCCATCATTATCTATTATTTGGATAATCAATTCTGAGTATTTTTTGCTTAATTCCATAATAAGGTAAACAATGAACCATTCATCTTCAATGTTGTCTCCGAAGCAAGTAGAAGCAATAAGATGCATTGGCAGAGCTGAAATTAAAAGTGTACAAAATGAACAAAGTATTATACATAGTTAGCCCAACTTTGTGTGCATGCTAAATTGGAGACTTATTTGGTTCATTTAAATAAATAAATTATTACATTAAAAAAGGAAGAAACGGCTCCTTGTCACGACACAACAGAAAAGTTCTGGAGGAATTATTGAAAACCTATTTTGCAAGTACTTAAACCTCTCTACTGTAGAAAGTAAACAAAATGTTCCTGGTCTAGGGGCACTTAAATCCCATTTCTCACCAGAAAAAAGCATAGCCATGTTCGTCAAGTTAACTGACGAGATCATAATTTCTATTATGATCTCGTCAAATGTAAACATCTTTTATACCAAGTAGGATAAAAGATGTTTACATTTTGTATGTGACATCCTGTAATACCCATGTTTATGAATGAATAAATGATTATGATTATGATTAGATCTAGTTGAAACCGGCAGTGCAGATTATGGCGAGACATTTTATAATTAAACCAATTTAAACACTTACCGCAATTTTCGTCATTGAGAATAGGCAAACACACTTTGAACTCATCTCTATGCCATATGTATCCAGTTGCAAGAGTTTTGAGAGTTAAATTTATTTCTTTACACATGGTTTCCCAGTAAACACTATCAGAATTTGATAATGAAGAGAAAAATAAAGCATGCACCGTATCTTCATTTGTTACAGTTTGAAGTTCTGTCATCGTATTTTACTAGAATTTTTACCACACGCGAGTCTATCACAATTTTTCACAAATAAAACTCAGAAGTAAAATGCAAAACAACAAGACTCACTCACGGTTTTTAACAAGAGGTGAGCTTAGATTAATAAAACCTAGATGGATAGTCTTCATACAAACGCTTCGTCAAGAGTGAGGCAAAAATCTTATGTCATTAGTGTCAATTTTGTTGGGGAGTGTACAATAGACAGTGAAGGCGATTTTCCCGAAAGTAGGGAAATTTTTAATACGTTTTTAATTATTTTATAACTAACAAAAACAAAACGCATCATGTACTTACTTATTTATTGAATTCAAAGTACCTACCTAATTACAATAAGATAAATCGACTGAAAAGTCTCGATTTCATAAAAAAGGAAGTGTATCTAAGGAGGTGAGGTAGTGGTGTGGTGACAGACAAGACAAGACAAGCATAGAGAAAAGTAATACATAGGAAATAGAGAACCCTCTCTGTCAAATTTTTGAGCCTACTAATTGACAGCCTGGTGTTAAATTCCCTGTACTTAACCTACGTACTGTTATGAGCCTCAGAGGATTTGGGTTTTTAAAAAAAGAACACGAGATTAATAGGATAAGACAGCCGTCTAGTTCGGATGGTGGAATGAGACTGGCGTGGAGATGCGAGGGATCGCAGGCTATGGATAGAAAAGGATGAGTCGGCAAAAGGCGAAATGTCAGGTAAGCAATATAGGGTGCGAGGGCTATCTGTAACACCTCCCGGGGGTAGACTAAACATCGGGGTGAAATGAGCGATGTTTAGGAAAAACGGAAAAAGGTAAGTATTTAGATTTTACACATTTCTGCGTATACTAGGAGATGGGATTTCTTCTGCATCAGGATGACGTTTAATGATCTTCAAGGGAATGGCTGGTTCGGGAGTTGGAGGAGCTGGAGCTGGTTCTACAGGTAAGTTTTCAGGATTGGCGCGAGAGGATCTCGGGAAAAGGTAAGTTAGACGGCTGCGCGATTTAATGCATAAAAACATTTTTAAAATGCAAAACATAAAGATAAATACTTTCAAAATAATGGATTTGAAAAAATTCTACATTGTACATCAAAAAAACAATAATTCTTTGAAGGTTATGAGGGCCTATGTGTGCGTGAACTGTGTGTATGTGTGCGTGGACTTTATGTATGTATGTGTGCGTGTACTATGTGTGTATGTGAGCGTTACGTACGTAGGTTAAGTACAGCGAATTTAACACCAGGCTGTCAATTAGTAGGCTCAAAAATTTGACAGAGAGGGTTCTCTATTTCCTATGTATTACTTTTCTCTATGTCACTCACGGTTTTTAACAAGAGGTGAGGTGGTGGTGTGGTGACAGACAAGACAAGACAAGTGAGTGACCAAAAAATCAAAAATGTGACAGTGAGTGACAGACAGTCCTCCGGCAATCATGCGTTTAGCCGAAAATAGTGCGCTTGTTAGAAATTGTTAGCAAAATGGCGATCGTCATGGCAACCGCCGAAACTTTTGCATGTTTTCGAGGACACGTTTGCTAACTTAAAAAGTGACGATTTCCCTTACATTTTTTTAGCAGTGTTAGCATTTACCGCTAAAAGGACGCCATTTTTCTTACTGGCGACTGACTAGCGCTAGCTAGTGCTATTTTCTGCCAAACGCCCCCAATGTCAAATCTTTTTGTCATGTACCCTATAGTGATGTGAAAAGACGATTAACAAAACCAAATTTCGATGGTTCAGAATGAATTTAATGAAATTATCTATTAGTGTCAAAAAGAGTTCAACAACATAACTTCAGTACATTAATAATTGCCGGATCCAAGAATGCTGGGCCCAGATTGCGCTAATTTGTAATGTTTCCAACTCATTAGCGTTTCATCTCTAGCCCACACTTTAGAGTTAGACGCTCCAGGTCCACGCTAAAGTTCAGTCGCAAACAAAGACGAAACAACGGATTTTTTCACTAAAACACAGCAAATGAATTACGGTAATAAAACACAAAAAAAAAAACAGCGTACGTCAGCTGTTTTGACCAATCGTATTGCAGAATCGATGAAGCGCGTCTGGATTGGAGACGTTAAAAATTACCGTAATCGGGGCTCTGATTACGCTAAAAATTTTCATCTTCAACGTGCCCAAACGACGAACGAACATCAGCTGTTCTTACAAATCCGTATCACGGTGTCGTTTTGACAGCTAGTGAAACAAAGCATAGACGTAAACCTTAAGCTAAATATCTCATGTGACAATGAAAATACTAGGAAGGTACGTCCATTACCGTGATACCGAATTTGCACCTCAGCTGGAATAAAAAACGGAGCTCAACTGGAGAAGAAGCGCGTATGTATTGGAGACGTTAAAAATTAGCGTAATCGGGGCACAGTTGCGTCACGTTGCAGCAGCTGAAAAGTTTTACCGCAATCGGGGCCATAGTCCGCACCGCGATCACTTTGCTTTCGCTTTGCCGTCCCTCCTGCGCCGTTTCGTGTATGACCCTGACCCTGAGAGCTTAGCGGGACTTTTGTATTTTTTTAAATTGTATAAATTACAATTTTCATTCTTAAAAAAAAAATCTATCACCGTAGTCCGTGCCACAGCACAGATGAGGTCCTTACGCAGCTCATACTAAAGAATGAGGTTCATTTCGATTTTTAGTTGTTAATGCAGATTTATAGGGCTAAGAAATCCATAATACACAGTCCAAAAAAATTTTGTTCTACGACAAAAATTGACGAATTTATGGCCAAATTACTAAAAAAAGTTCACTGACCGCCCAGCACGTTAACGGTGACGTCACTATATCGGAATCGAGCGCAGCGTGCGTAGTTGCGTACTATGTAAATGAAAAATATTTTTTTCAGTTTTAGAGAAAATCTTTTACTAACATTTATTCATCAGAATAAAGTAAGCTTTCGCTATTTAAAAAAATTGAAATTTATATTTTTAACAATTTCTATTTTTAAAATTTACTGATGGGTTACATTATTTTGATGAATAAATGTCATTAAAAGTTTTTCTCTAAAAGTGATACTTTGGCTGGAAAAATATATTTTCCATTTTCTGCGACAGTGATGATCCTCATTGTCAACTATCGATTCAAGATCGATCCCCAATTCCCCCATCCCTAAAATGTCAAAATCTCCTTGGCAGTTGGCTTCTCCACCACAGATTAATTTCGCCATCGTCGAGGCGTCTTTCCATTCTATACATAGCCAGAACGCAAGGGTGTGAAACTAATCGAGTATAGTTTGGATGTGACTTTTTTTACTAAGCTCCTCCAAACCATAGAGAAAAGNTAACGAAACTTGGTACAATTATTCTTCATACTCCTGGGCAGGTTATAGGATACTTAGGAATTCCCACGAGACCGGGAATTAGCGGGAAAATCCTTTCGTACGAAAAATCTAAACCGCTTAAGTTAGACGCTTGAAATTTGGCATGCAGGTACCTTAGTAAACTTAAAGCTTAGTTACAACAGGATATTGCAAAATTCCCATGGGAACGGGAGTTAGTGGGAAAAAACATTTGTATGAAAAAATCTAAACCGCGTAAGATAGACTCTTGAAATTTGGCATGCAGGTACCTTAGTAAACTTAAAGCTTAGTTACAACAGGATATTGCAAAATTCCAACGGGAACGGGAGTTAGCTGGAAAAAAAATTTGTATGAAAAAATCTAAACCGCGTAAGATAGATGAAGGGGGTAAAACGGGATCCACGCGTACGAAGTCGCGGGCGGCCGCTAGTCTAAAATAAAAATTGACAAATTCGATAATGTATTTATTTTTCTACTCCCCATAACCTTGTTAAAAATGATATTGTAGGTAACATGAAATGGTCGTTTTTACATTTTGTTCACCGCTAGACTTACTATTTGACATTATTTTGCTATTTTTAATTAAATAATTACACTAGATACTAATTTGTATTGCGTGCGCGACTGTATCCATGCGCAGCTATCCCCTCCACGTTTCGTTCAGCGCTAGAGTTACGTGCCGCGATCTGTAATAATATCGACACCTGCAAGGAAGAACATCGTAACTCAGTTTAGGCCATTTTTCAGGAGAGCACGACAAAGTTTAAAAAAAAAAATCTCATGTCATTTTAAATCCTAAAGGTTATCTGTCTTGAAAAAATAAGTTATTAATCGGATACCTAGACTATCTTATGATTATAATTAAAAATATTTATACTATATTCAATGATTTAACTCATGTTTTTGTGAGTTACAATCATATCCATTCATAATAATATATTCCAAGAAGTACATTGTAAGTCTGAGTTACAATGCTAAATTGTATCTTATTGCTAGGAGAAAATAATTGTATGTCTGAGATACAATTTTGAAAAAGTAAAAAAATAGTGTAATTAATTTGTTCCAACCAAACGCTGTTCAATATTGTACAAACTCCTTCCCCACGAATTTCCACAGCGACTGGCCTTACGCCGCCCACATCTAGGTGCATCCCGCGCATTGGCGTATCTAGGATTCTTTTTCAGGGGGGGCTGGCTCCTGATATGCCATGTCACGGGAGGTGCGATTAATATCATAGCTCATGAGTTAGTACTATCAACTATCATTTTCAAATCAGTAGCCCAATATCCACCCCGGCCACTCCGTAACGTGCCAACCCGGCCCCCCGCCACATACGCGCATGATCCCGCGACCTACTAAGTATATCGTCGGTCAACCGAGTAAAAACCAGCCCTAACAGCCATCTGTTCTACGAGCCCATCAGTGCTCAGCCTAGTGTCAATAATGGCAATTCTGTGGGCTATGTTGGACACTTTGATTGTCCTAAGAATCTCATTTTTGATCCCATCACGTAGAAAAACTCCAGTCATAGTTCACTCTATAGCCCTTTAGGTGATCTTGACCCTTCTTATCACGGCCAACCTGCGTCCGAAGTCTATTTAAAGACTTCCAGACTCATTACACCTCTCAGTCTTCTGTACCGGCTTCTTGCTTTCTTTGCCCGCGGCTTCGCCTGCACGAATTTCGGCCGAGTATAGCCTTTGTTACTCCGGGAAATGGCATATTCTAATGATCAAAGATTTTTTGGAATCATGTCAGTACTTTTACCCCCTTACTAATAAAACTTACACGCTTGTTGAACAGTGTTATAAAGTGACGTTTAGTATGGAAATGTCTTTTTAAAACATTGTTCAACAACTGTGTAACTTTTTATTAGTAAGGGGGTTAGAGTTTATCCAATACAAACGTAAAAAAATACAAAACTTTCCTTTTTTTTAAACTAATGCAATTTTTTTTTAAAAAAAACGCCTTAATGGCAATAAATAAGCAGACTTTTTTTTTTATTTCGAACGGGATAAAAAGTATCCTATGTCCTTCTCCTGGCTCTAAACTACCTCCCTGACAATTTTCAGCTAAATCGGTTCAGCCGTTCTTGAGTTATAAGTGGTGTAACTAACACGACTTTCTTTTATATATATATATAGATAGATTAGTATGATTAACATTGTATCTAAAGTTGTAATGGTTTAATCTTCAAAAGAATAGGATTGTAATCAAAGTTACAGATGAAAAATTTGATAGATTTGTACAGATGCAATAATAATTTCCAATAATATAAAGAAAATTCGTGTAAATTTTTGAATGGTCATCACAAAAAATAAAATGTAACTAAATACACCGTGAAATATTAGTGGTTGTTTTCCCGCGGCATGCGGCAGAATGATTTACCTTTAGTAGTAGGTACTACCGAATCGTGCGAGTTATTTTTGAAAAAAAAATGTTCTCAACTAATAAAAAAAAATATCATCAACTCGAAAGCGTAAGAAACAAGTCTTTTTTACAAAATGTGACGTATTCTGCCTGCCTCACGAAATCAATATTTAAAGTAAAAGAAGCTCTCGCACCTTAGTGCGAGAGCCATAAACTGAATCGCACACGCTCCGTACAGGCTAATTTTTTAATTGAATTATAAAAAACTTCCTTAATCTATTGTACTATCTTTTTATAGTAAGATAGAATCATTTTACTGCGGGAAAACAACCACTAAAATTTCACGGTGTATACAATCATAAAATCTTCCTAATCATAATACCTTAATACCTACAGCATAAACTGAATCGCACACGCTCCGTACAGGCTAATTTTTTAATTGAATTATAAAAAACTTCCTTAATCTATTGTACTATCTTTTTATAGTAAGATAGAATCATTTTACTGCGGGAAAACAACCACTAAAATTTCACGGTGTATACAATCATAAAATCTTCAAATACCCTTACTTACGATGTTTTTACACTGCCTAGATTTTGAACCATGAGGAATTTGAAAATGGACCTGAATGTCTCCAACTTCCTCATTGGCCCTAGAGCAATTCCAAGTATACCATCAATAAAAGCCTAATTAGAGTCATCAAACCTCTCAGTCATTCAATTAGAGCCATTAGAACTTCATAACTATGAGTTGTTTTCTATGTGTAAGCTGAGGACACGTGTCTCCAGCTGACACATCTGTATCTTCGTAAATATTTATGCTACGATAATGTATTATACCTCAAAAATTACAGTCGAATCCAAATAGTAGGCTTTCCACTTTTCAAGACTTTAGCTCAAATACTGTTAAAACCACGATCAAAAAACTATGTGCGAGCTGGAGTACCGTGTCTCCAGCTTACACATCTGTATCTTCGTAAATATTTAAGCTACATCAATGTTTTATATCTCATAAATTAAAGTCGAATAAAAAAACCCGACTTCAATTCTTTCAAAGCTTTATTTCGAACCGTTTTCGAACTACGAACCGATACGTATGTGTAAGCTGGTGACACGTAACACACGGTGGATTATTAAAACCGTATAAGTTAGAGTTGCGTTTTAAAGATCAAATAATTCGTTATAATTGAAGTACACACGAGACATAATTTCAAATCTCTAGGCCTCTTAGTTTCAGAATTAAAAGCCAAAAACTATTTTCCCGCCAAATAATTCAAATAATATGGGTCGACTGCGACGTTGCCGTTCCGTGAACTATTTTTAAAACATCTTAAATTCCTTTTAAATGACCCAAAACGTCATTCCCTAGGCATGTCCGTACTCCAAAAGTTTGTGTTTTGGAACCCATATTTATAGAAACATCAACTTGATCCTTTGTTTTAATTAACGAATAATCTATTTAATCGTATATTACACCCAATTCTTTTAATATCTTGCGGTTTCAATAAACAATAATTTGATTTTCTTAAGTTGAAAAAGAGTCCACAGCTTTTAGCGTCATTCCCTCGCCACGCACTGATTTTATAATTTTGCGCTTTAATATGTATTTAGAGTGAATGACATTTAGTTGAGTTTAAACTACGATACAAAGTTATCCTCAGACCATACTGGCTTTGCGGCAGCCGTTTTTTGAATTAGTGCAAACGTGCCAGTTGTTGCGGAAACATGTGTTGATCCAGTCACTTCGTCAGTCCCTAGTTGAGTAGCTTTATTGATTACAATAGGAAATTGTATATATTATAGTATTTACGTGTGGTTTTTCGGCTGTTTTCGGCACATCGTATTAAGCATTTTATAATTTAAAGTTAATCTGCATTTGTATTAAATTTTACTCCAAATCGTCAGTCCCTAGACCGTCAGGCCCTTGCTTAAAACGGCGCTAGGGACTAGGTTACTAGTTAGGGAACGACGTTTTTTATATAGTGTTAATAACAAAACAACTACATTAAGTATATTAACTTATCTATAAATGTTAAGGTCATAAGTTTTATACTTTATTAAAAGTGATATAGGAATAATGTAGTATTAAAAAAATTGAAAATTATAATTTCTCCTAAAATAAAGCATAAAGTGACTGGCCCTTTTAGACATAACATAATTATTAATTAAACTATAATTTACACTACTAAAGTATTCAAAAGCATCTTAAAAAAGTTTAGGACAAAATGACGTCGAAAATATACAGATTTTTATGGAATGACCCAATTATTCAGTTTTGGGTAATTTTAAATATCCACATAAAATATTTCAATTTTAGTATTATTAGGTAAACTGTTAGTATATTAGGGTTAGTAAACTTATCAATAATTGGAATTGATTTTCTTTTGTTTTTCAGAATAAAACTTCAGTTGCCAGACTTAAGCTGTGTTCCAATTGTTCCCCCAGAATCACATTCAGAAGACCCACAGGATCATGGTGGACGTGTGAGGTCATTCCCTCATGTCAGAGGAAACTGGGCTACCTTTATTTATGTAAAATGTTAGTAATAATGCATTATTTTACTATATTACAGTGGTTTTTTTTATTCTAAAGATTACATAAAATTAATGAACAGAAATAATTAATAAGTGCATAATTAATTATATTTTTAGATCCTGAAGAAGAAAGTCTATTAAGCCTTTCACAAAGATTATTGGGCATATTGTCTGCATTTAAAGACTCTTGCCACGTCTGTGACAATGTTCATATAAGTTTGTCCAAGACAGTGGTGTTACAGTATCATTTGATAACACCATTCACAAGATCTCTGCAAGAAGTATTTCGTAATATTGATTGGTATGTATTATTTACTAAGTTTCTTTTCTTCTTTATGGCTCTCGCGGATTGCGTTTAGCCACGACGGGGTTCTTGATTTTTGCGTTCAGATTACTAAGTTCTTTAAAAACATTAATACATACAACAATCCATCCACAAAGTTACTAGTTACGTATGAGGTGTGTTACAGATTTATTCCTTGTACAATAATAATTAAAGTTATAGTCCAAAACTTTTGCAAACAAAACTTGTTGATGTTACTACAATTTTTTTNCGACTCGTTAATGTTTCTCGTCGGCCAGTTAGTGTGCCCGAAACATAATTTCACCTGCGTTTTGTTATTTATCAAGCGCGGCATTGTAATAACTCGCACACACACACTGCAATACGTTTGGGCACAACATTGGACTGACTGGGACGATTGTTTATGTTGTGGCGCTCCCGCATGCCGATCGGCGACTCGGCGCGGGCTGTGGGCGCGGAGCAACTGGCTGGCATATCAATATGGCCGACTCACGCGGCGCGGCACGTGGCAGCGGTCGTTGCCCTCGGCCGGCTACTACGATAGTGCGTAAACGAATACTCTGCGCGCTCAAAGGATGATTTATTTTTTATTTTTTTCGAAACATTCTTTGTCGTTTTACTCGAAAACTAGCCTGAATTTTTTTTTAAAAACACTTGGGTTGTATTTGTATGATTTTATTAGATGCGTTGGTAAAGTATGATCAGTATAAAAAATAACACCTTATATTATGATCATTAACAAATAGTAATTTTTATTGAAACATTTTATAGAACATTTATGCCCTCATATTATTATTATCCATAAAGAATATTTCCTGTTTGTTTAAAACCTACTTGATTTTTAAATTTATTTGTGTTAAATATTATATTTTCAGCTTTTGCTTGGATTTTTCTGGTATAAAACTTTACTGTAATGAGGAAAACACAAGAACATTTATTGCCTTAGAAGTGGATTATTCTTCTAAAAGAAGGCTATTGCAACTGAGCCAAAACGTTGACGACGTGTTGAAGGAATATAAACTTCCATTATTCTATGAGGTGAGAATGATGCATACAATTTTTTGTAAGTTATTTAAAAACAACAATTTTTTATATACATACAGGGTGGAAACGATAAGTGATCTCATTCGATTTTTTCTAAACTATACAAGATATCGAAAAACTGGTTACTAATCCTGAAAGTGCTTCACAAGCTCTATCCAACGGTACCAATATTAGGTTACAGAATTAACTGGATCTATCCGAAAATTTAATGTTTTCAGTCTCCATACTAAATGTATGCCAGCCAAACAATAATAGAAGTATCAATTTTTTTTATTAAATAATAAACACTTAAAATGAACTCGTAAATTGCATTCTTATTTAAAATTATTCTTGGAAAACATTGGTTTTAGGCTTTACTTGCTATAAAATTAACCAGACAGAGTGCCATGACTGTGGCTGTACTAAATGTATGGAAGCTGGAAACAATGAATTTTCGAATGAATCCAATTTATTTTGTAACCTATTATTGGTACCGTTAGATAGAACTCGTGAAGCACTTTCAGGACCAGTAACCAGTTTTTGAATATCTTGTATAGTTTTTAATATTATGTGGTTTTACTAAATGTATGGAAGCTGCAAACATTGAATTTTCGGATTGATCCAGTTTATTCTGTAACCTATTATTGGTACCGTTTGAAAGAGCTTGTGAAGCACTTTCAGAATCAGTAATCAGTTTTTCGATATCGTGTATAGTTTAGAAATAATCGAGTGAGATCACTTAACGTTTCCACCCTGTATAATATGTATATGTTATGACATAAATACTTAATTGATGGAGATCCACACTGCGAATTTATCTCGCCTAATTATCTAATAGCCCATTGTCTAATCTTATTTTTTAATTTAATATTAAAAGTTCAATTGACCTATGTACTGTCTGAATTTTTGTTTCAGAATCCATCATTTCACATGAGTATAATTTGGTTGACTGGGGACAAAAAGGCTGAACTGTCGAGTTTGATGTCTGAATTCAACAACAGCTTAAACAAAGAGTTGGGAAATACAATTAATCCAGTTTTGGTGTCAGATTTAAATTGTAAAATTGGAAACAAATATTTTCAATTTACATTGCAGTGAAGATTAACCATGAACAACAAAGTGTATATAAACCCAAAATTTAATAGGCCAACCTCGACTAATCTGCCTCCAGCTGCAAGTAATAATATGCATGTAAATCCGAAATTTTCTCAACACATGTTGCATAACAACAGTAGAATATATGTTAATCCACATTTCATTAAATTGAATGCCAATCATGCACACGGTCAAAGAGAAGATTATGATACACATTCAAAAAGTGAACATCCTCCTGTAACAGCACAAGTAAGTAACACTTCAATAGTTGCTACTTCTAAATCGAGATACTCTTTAGTAAGACACAATGCAACACAAGCTTTACCGAATCAGACACATATGAAAGCTACTACTATAAAACTAAATAAATATAAATCAGTTGCTATCTGTGATTTCAAAAAAATATTAGATGTAAAAGTATCTCAGCAAGTAAATAATAAACCAGATCCTGTGAGTAGACAGCCATTATTAGGCCGCAGTGACAAAACGCTAACTAATCCAAAACCGAAAGCTGGCTTTCAATATGCGGGTAGGCAGATTTCTAATAAAAACCACATTAGAACAAGATTTAAGCTCCGAAACATATCACTTGATTCTGTTAAAAGCGTGCCCAAATCGAGCCCCTATAAGCTGAAACCGAAAACAAATCTAAAGAAGAATAATATTCCTTGCCCCTTATTTAAAAAATACGGAAAATGCTTGAGAAGTATTCATGGAATTTGTGACTTCCTTCATGATAAAAAACATGTGTCTATATGTAGAAAGTTTATGAAAGGTATTTGTCATGATAGTAATTGCCTCCTTTCTCATGATGTAACGAGTAAAAAAATGCCCACTTGCAATTTTTATTTAAAAGGGATGTGTTCCAAAGAAAATTGTCCTTATGTTCATGTGAAATTAAACGAAAAAGCAAAAGTTTGTTCAGATTTTTTGAAAGGCTATTGCGAGAAAGGCGACAAATGTTTAAATCGCCATGTTGATATTCATCAAGGCACGGAAAAGAATAAACGTGAAAAGCAAGTTGTGTGCTCCTTAAAAAATAAAAAGACTCCTCAAAGAAATGTACGTAAATATAAATTAAGTGTAAATAAAGATTTACCTAAAATTGTACAAAAATCTTCCGAAAAAGATTCGAAACCCAACATAACCAGCCTTACCGACACGCGATATTATAAAGAAGTCCAAGAAACATCTGCCAACATGTCTGAGCCTAGCGAAGTTATTAAACCGACGAGATGTAAATTAGGCACTTTGCCTTCTTTTATAAAACTTTGAAAATGAAACTGTTGTTAAGTACCTACTTGTTTTTCAAAGTTGAGTTACTTACTTGTGCTGTCTGCATGACTGTGTGTGTTTTATTATGACGTCACTGTGAAAGAAACTGTGTCAGAAAATCAAATATTTATAATAATATGTTCTTTCTTATCACTAAAGAAAGGGAAGTACATAATAATGTGCACCTTCAAAATAAAAATTACAACAGTCCCTGAAACTACGCAATCAGATGCAGCAAGTTTTACTACCTATATTCGTAAAGGATAATACAAATAATAAATAAAAGAATTTTTTTCATCTATTTCACTATGCATTATGAAGTTTTATAGGCTGCTGCGCCTTCTAAGGCTCGGTTTCCACCAAGGTGGAGCGGAGTGGAGACGAGAGATGTGCAGCGAAGCTGGCAGTCTTATTCCACTAAAGCAGAGCGGAGAGGATACGAGACGAGAGGAGATTTGTGTGAGCTGTCAGCTGTCGAATTGACAATCTATTGCTGTCTATGAAACATCACACAGCTCCGCGTCGCGCCGCCGCCACCGCTGTCAAATTCTATAGAAAAATTTGTCCGCCTGACACTTCTATTTTCTCCGCTCGATCCATTTCCACCGAAGCGGAGGAGGTGTGAAAATAATGAGATCTGATTGTTATTTAAAACATCTCTGCTCCGCTCCGCTTTGGTGGAAACCGGGCCTTTTATCATGACGTTATATAATGACGACTAGTAGTTATGTTATGCCAAGAGATATAATAATTACATTTAATGATCAAAATATTAGCTGAGCTGATGAGGCAAATTAGTTTCGTAATCTACCATTGACTATGTTTATTGTTTTGGTAAAAAACAGCAAACGTATTAATAATGTAAATAATTTACCAAACTCTTCCGCTATTGCCATGTCTGTAAATCAAAAGGAATACGTGTAGTCCGGCAAAATAACAATAAGTAATATTCAAAATTTGTATCTTTGTAATTTGAGTAGGTAAATCTGCCATAAACGGCAAAGCGAAAAAAAAAACATGGCGGTCACTGAGATGGAAGGCCTGTTTCCTATATTTTTCTAAGCTTTTTTGACATTTACAAAATCGGACTCCAACTTTCACTAATCTTTTGGAATGTTCACTAAATCTTAGGCAATTTTTTAAATACATAGTATCATAGGTATTTTATGAACAAAATAAAATTACCAAAGTTAATTGGCGCGGACTATACATATAGGTACATACACAACACAATGAATATGCCAAAGTGCCTTAATAGTACATTATGAAATAGGGGTTTATTCCACTTTGATCACCTGGCTTTGATCACAGTGGACTCCAAGCGACAATTTGGTGTCCTTTGATCACCCATGGATAAGATGACCTGAGTGATCAAAGTGGTCTGGATGTTTGTTACTCTTTCACGCAAAAACTACTGAAAGGATTTTGATGAAACATTACAGTATTGTTGTTTATAATCCAGAATAGCATGCTATAATTTATGACGATCTGTGACTAACTAAATTAACTATTCAGAGTTGTGATGTATTAATTGTCGTTTGGAATCCACTTTGATCACCTGGGTGATCAAAGCCAGGTAATCAAAGTGGAATAGACCCTAATTATACCTGGAATTAATTAAGCTGGATTCGGCATGTAGAGTATTACAAGCACCGAACTTGGCGTAACCTCTATGGTTATACGCGTGCCTGGGGGCGTAGTGTGTTTACGTCAAACGCATTCGATGTCAACTGCCTAAAAAAGTGACAATAAATGTATGACGGACTAGCTTTTGCCCGCGGCTTCACCCGCGTGAAATTTAGTTTGTCACAAATCATCATAAATTATAGCCTATATATGTTATTCTGGGTAATAAACAATAATAAGTTTCATCAAAATCCGTTCAGTAGTTTTTGCGTGAAAGAGTAACAAACATCCAGACATCCAAACTTTCGCATTTATAATATTAGTAGGATTGTACTAGGGGTAGCGGAAACTTTCAATATTCGTTTCAAAGTGGGTGTTATACATAATAACACCCACTGGTGTAGTAACATCTTATCTATTTTTTGACATTGTATTATAAAAAAGTTTATAAAGAATATAAAGTTAAACTAATAATACATTACAAAGTAGGTATTAGCATAAATACTTAGGTACGTTCCATTTGCGGTTTGCACCTCCACTGAAGAATACGCTCCCAATAATATTATGTTAAAAAGATTCTATTTTCTGTGTTTGAATTCTTATAATAACAATAACTGAGGATCTCACTTCAGTCCTTAATAATGTGTAAAAATAATAAATCATCTGAAGATGTAAAATTTCATGTAAATATGTATAATAGATTATTATTATGTTTAAGACTTTTTTATGTTTTATAATAAAGAGTACAGTACCTAAATTAATTTGTATTTATTGACTAATCTGCCATTTTGATTTAGGATGGGTTCATAATAACACTATCCTGTCCTTTCCCGGAACTCGAAACTATTATACCAAAATCCATCAAAAGCGATTTCATCATCATTTCAGCCATAGGACGTTCACTGCTGAAGATAGGCCTCCCCCAATATGCTTTCCATGTTGATCGATTGGTAGCGGCACAGAATAAGTAATAGTACAGGTAGCGGCCTGCGTGCAGCGCTTCCCTGCTACCTTTATGATGTCGTCGGTCCACCTTGTGGGTGGACGCCCCACGCTGCGTTTTCCGGTACGATTTACGATTTTAGTACGATACAAAGGTGTGCTGGGTCTAAAACTACTATGCTGGGATGGTGGTTCCATCCCCTTTGATATGGTGTTAATATTGATGAAATGACTTTCTGTGATCAGTCATAGTAGAAAAGCGGATTGTATCATTATAGACAATATCCTGATTTATGAAGCATAGCTGATGCATAATTACACCGTAATATACGAGTAATGGAACTCGTATATTACGGTGTAATTATTATGCACCCTCCCACCTTAAAATAGAAATAAGCTAGCACCGGGACCAGAATCATTTTAATTATCTAACTTCTTACCTAGCCAATTTATTAGTTAGGTAAATGTACTCGTACATCAATGCAGTCTTATTCTACTTTCAATAAAAGTTTTAAACTTGTATCAAATACTTTATTTTAAAACATAATTATCATCTAAAAATAACTTACAGAGTAAAAAGGTGATTAAGTTATCATTTAAATATGGCTGGGCTGTATATATAATTTTAGTGTTTAAATACTATCTCGAATATGTATAATAGAACCCTATTATGTAATAATAAATCACATAATACCTACACAGGGTGTAAAAGTCAAGAACGGCAATAACACCGTGCATTCCGGACTACAATACACCAGAAAAATTCTATGAATCTAATATCAAGTACAGACTGAAGATATAGTAAGTACAGGCACAACAACACAATAAAACATAGTAAATTATACAGACGAGAGAACCCCAAGCTAACCAGTGGCATCTTATGCCGTTGTAATAGGTGTGGTTTTGCTATAATAATACATAATATCGTCTAATGCTAGATTCTGTGCATCAAAATTCGAAATATGAAAAAAAATACATCGCGTTTGGGACATTTATATGAATCCATGGTTGAAATTTCCAAAATATAGTCCAATATCCAATTTATTATCTCCTAAACCATATCTATTCCAGAAAATATTAGGTCCTTCTTACCCATGAAATTGCCGTTTAGCATTTAATATTTTTTTTTTTTTTTTTTATCCACAACGAGGAAGCTCTTAGCCTGAATCTCACCTGATTTAATTCTAATTAAAATATAAAAATAAATATAAAATATATGTAATGTAAAAGTCCATGAAATTAAATAAAAAAACAATAAACAAACAAACTATAGTATGAACGGAATTAAATACCTACTACTGAATATTGATGAAAAAACAGCAATTTCATAAGTCAGGCAGGACTAAAATATGAAACAGACTAGAGTATACGTTTTAAATTGTATAGTATAACAATCATGGTTACTAGTTTACTTTTTAAACCACTTTGGTACTTTACTGTTTTTTGAATTTGATGAACCTCTTGTGGACCTGTTTGAAGATTCACCTCCATCCTCTATCTTTCTTCTGCTGGGTGCTCTGAAAAAAATATATAATTAAATTATAGATTTAGCTTTGTCCATCAATTTTCACTGGCACGGTGTTGCGTGTTGTTACAATCTTTTCAAAAGCATTTGATATTTGACGCCTCCCAGCATTATTCAAAAACTTTTTTAGTGTTTAGGGATAATAAATAAAAATTAAATTTATGTTTAACCTACTATTCAGATGTTTTTTTGCAACTGAATCATTTATGCATAAAATAATTAGCTTTGTTCGTAACTTTGTTATGAAAATGTTGATCTGAAGTAAAAAAATATATGTACATTAAAATGTTGAATTAAATTTTCAATTTTTTTCATATAAATTAAATCACCGCCAAGGATGGTTCAGTCAGACAAGAACTAGACACGATATGCGGAATGCGGAAATAATTTTTAAATAATTAACTTTCTAAATTTTTTTTGTGACATCTATTGACCGGCCATCCTCTGTAATAAATAAAGAAACTCAATCACAATATATATAAATAACATCATTTTATTACTAAGTTATCAACACGAGATTTTGTGTGGAAATGACTTTAAAATCAACATACCTGTATTTAGATGCTAAAATACTAGCTGCATCACTTGAAGTTTTCTTTGAATATATTTCTTCTTTGAGATATGTCTGGTTTTCATTATCGTCCAACCATTTAAAATGCATATGAACACAAGGTACGAATTTTGCATCAATGAGAGTCATATTAGGATCTAGTGTCTCTTTCAAAGGTGTTGTATCTGAAATAATTTATAATTAGGTAGGTATTCTTATAAATAGTAAATATGTATAAGCAAAATATTTCCATTGTTAAAAAAAATGATATTCGATTTCTAATATACATCCACTTAAAAGATCAAAACTAAAGATTAGAACTTTCAAATCCATTAAAAGTAATATGAAATTGTATCAACAGTAAATACAGTAATTTATTAATAAAAAAAAAGATACTCACATATATGAAAAGGTTTATCAGGGCTCATCAAGTGACTTTTGATAAAATTCATAACATCTTGAATGATGTCAGTTGGTGAAAATACTCCTTGAAGTATAATATGATCTGGAAATTGCACTCGAACAACAACATTCTTGTATACGTTCAATTTTTGCTGTGAAGTCTGGAAACATTAAAGTTAAAGAGGGTATTAGATTCACATTATGAGATTTTTAAAACACCTTCGAATTGCTATATAAATATTGTGCCATCGTCGTGGCAAAATGCCACGGGCCCCCAAGGGTCCCGACCCGAGAGGGCCCTGGCCCAAGACCCTAATCGCAACCCCTTCCTCCTCTGCTTCAAGAGAGCCTAAAAATTACAGATGATATAATTTCCAACTATAATTTCTAACTACTGTATCAGATATGAAACTATCTGTGCACAAAAAAGGCAATTGCATGTGGCATTGGCATTTCAGAATCAATAATTGTAGAAATATAGATCTGTAATAAAATCAATGTAATATTTGATACCTGTTGTTCTAAAGCTTGTTTTTTTGAAGCGGTGACAAGGGGTGTATTTTCTAGTTCTAAACGATTTTGTTGCAAGTCATGGTATAGTTTTCGAACTTCTTCAATTGTCAATTCATAAAAGTCATCAGGGAGATCATCTAATTCCTCTAATGCCTCTTCTGGTTGCATAAAAGCTATAGCTTTTTGTGTACCCAACTGAAACGGAAAGAAGTGTATATTGTTACAAAAGCCTTTAATTCATATGCAATATGCAAGATGTTCAGCGCAACGTTGCCGGAAGGTAGGTGGGATGGTCTGTCACCACAACAGGAAGTCATGCAACAAAAAGCCATAACTGGGAAATTAGTATGACTTACAAATGTGACTTCTTCTTCAATATTTAATCTTCTTTCTAGATTTGCTTGAGTACTTGCAGAAAAGGTACTTGAAGGCTCTTGTTTTAAATTTAATTCACTGTCCACTGTTGTGGTTGTCTCCTGATTGCTGGGTATGATAGGTTGCTCAATAGTAACTGTTTCTGGCTTTTTATCCTTTTTTTCATTTTTCAGCAATTTGACAGGATCAAAGGCTGCTTGGTTATCCTTTGAGACATTTGAAGGGCCTGGATAA